AACCTCCGTAGAGAGAGCATAGAGACAGAAACCCCCCCCCCCCCCCAAAAAAAAAACGAATGTCGAAATATGCCGTTTGGTGCTCACCGCTCTATCTTCCAGCAGGAGTATAGTTCTCCAGGACCCAGAGTCCCAGGCCAGAGACCCAGAGACTCAGAGTGTCTGACTAGTGACTACTCTCTTGGGTTTGTCTTTTAAAAATAAATAAAAGTAGTGTTGTTGGTATTTTAACTATGCACTTTAATTTATATATATATATTTTTTGGGTCTAGAATAATTATAAAATTTAGGGCTTATGATCAGATCATGATGGGATAAATAGCAGTCGACAAAACTTGACACTCATAAGTCACACAGACAGTCAGACAGGCCACAAAGTCAGGGTCTCAGGGATATCCGATATCTCGATGAGACTGAAGTCTGAAGTCTGACCTCTATAAGGCTCTATGTGTGAGGACAAAATTTTATAATTATATAAAAGTAAAACAAACCCCCCAAAACTTGCGTTTGTATGAAAAATGATTCAGAACCCAAAAAAATAAATAAAAATTAAGCCATTTAAAGTTTTGAAAAAAAATCTGGAAATAAAGGACAGTTGCCTAATAAATTTAAATAATAACACTGTACAGACTAAATAGTAAATACCTGATCGGGTATGCGACAACAACACGTCGCAATGAAATTGGTGTCGTTTATCATGGTCGTTTATGTATACGACGTGTCGCAGATGAAACCGGCATGTCGGTTGACAGCTATGGTGTGACGGTTAGTACTTTAAGTGTTTGGAGACAGTAGAAGTCAATTTTGTGGTGTGACGGTTGGTACTTTTGTCCTTGAAGTAACTGGCAGAAGGGGGCACGACTGTTTTGTCATTGTATCGGATGTTAAAGTTGAAGTAACACTGACGTAGTGATACTATGATAGACCGTGCTATACACTTAATAACTATAGAATAATCACACCGTATAGCTACACACATATACAGTTTATTAAAATATACTAAAAATACTATAAAAGTTAGTAGTTACTAGTTTCTAAATATTTATTGTCAGGACGTCAGCAAGGCCAAGTAGCAACTGAAACTCGACATACTAGCCCGCCCAACAAATAAAGGCGGTCGAAAACGCAAATGTGATATGATTAGCTGTCTTTAATAATTAATATACGGGAATATCATTGAATCGATGTTAAATGTTAAGATTAGGAACATATGATTGGTCACAAGAAAACAAAAATAAGGTCTGTCAAAATGATCAAATACGACAACGACACGTCGCATTAATATCAGTGCCTTCTAAAACGACACGTCGCATTCATTGCGACATGTGTCGTTTACCAGATCAGGTAAATACAGAGGCCAGAGCAAAAAAAATAGTGTTCAGACCCGTGGTCAGTATTATTCGTTTTATTTTTTCGAAATAGATTTCTAGTTGCGGACTCCGCCGTGTGTGGACTCTGGTGTCATCAGTATTCAGCAACGGTGAACGGACCTAAAAACAAACGAAGGCCACTTCGAGTTCTGCCATACTGCCCTACTCATGTACTCACTACTGTTGAATCACTCTTCTCTTCTCCTTTTGTGTGAATGATCCTTCATAAAATAGCCCAATAGCTGAGCCAAATGCTAACGCAATGTTTCATTGGTTCTTAGAAACACCTTCATTTGTCGAGCCGACTTCGCGTTCTCGAGAGTTACAGTTCACGTCGTCACGACTGGTCTCAACGTAGCTACAAAGCTACATACAACAACGGTACTACGAAAGGTGTGTCGTGGGACTGAAGCCTGTGTCCTCTGAGGTCCAGTCACTCCCCAGAGTCCTCTAGACTCAGAGTGACAGACAGACAGAGTCCAGACTCCGAGTGTCCTCTGTCCACTTCTCAAGTTCTCTCACTCTCAAGACTCTCAGTGACTCTCTCTCTCACTATGTAACTCTCTCTCTCTCTCTCTCTCTCTGTAACTCTCTCTCTCAGAGAGACTCATAGACTCGGACTCTCTCTCTTTCTCTCTTTCTCTTTTCTCTCTACAAGAAGAAGCTAGCGAGTCTCTTCAGTTTCTCACTCTCTCAAAATAGAGAGTTCGGAGTATGTATTTAAAAAAAGAATAGTAGTCTGACTTTTAGACTATAAATGACTATTTGTACAAGTAAAATAATAAATATTTATTTTACTCTCTCAGCCCTCTGGCAGCTTAAATTTGTGAAAAAATCGAAGTCATATGTACATAAAAATTTACGTTTCCTGTTGTATAATTGGGCTTTTTTTGTTGTATAATTGTTTTTAAAATAAAATACTGTGTATTTAAAAAAAAGTACGAATCACCAATCGACTACCGGCTAAGGCACCCCACTCTGCTGGGCCCTGGGCCTGGGGCTGGGCCTGGGGCAGGGCCCTGGGGAGGCTTGTACGCCGCCAAACTCACAGCCCCACAGGGGCTAGGGCCCACTGGTTCAGGAAGTTCAATCTTCAGCCTCACAGGAGTTCAGGCCTTCAGGCTTCAGCCAATCAACTTTCAGGATATTTTCATTTCGGATCGCTAGTTCCTGAGTCCTGGAGCGACCCGTAAATTCCAAAATAAAATAAAATATGAAAACTGCCTCTGATCGCTATTGTATTGGGATCAAATTACACCCAAATCGAACCAAGGGTTTGTCATTGACTTTGGTAAAGTTTGCCGGCACATTTCAAATCTCGAGATTAATAATGTGACACTCAAACCAAGTATCAAATTTTCAAGACCAGATCAAGACCTTATTAGTCGATATTACGTGTGTCATACACAAATCAATGGATGGGTGCAGTATACCTTTATATGTTCGGCTAGGATATTTATATGTGTTTTTCGTCAACCGCTCTTAGCCTTAAGGAGGATGTGTGTGTGTTGTGAGCATCTCTTCGATACCAACACACATGGGCCTCTTCGATACCAACATGCATGGGTCTGCTCGTATGATATAGTTGAATGTAGAAAAATAGAGTATGCATAACACGTACGCATGATATTTATGAATCAGGATACGTGAATACAGCAATGAACGCGTGTCACCGCTCGTGTAGTACTGCATAGTATTGCCTGACTTTGAAATTGTGTCCAGATTGCGCTGTGGTCCGAGAGCAACGCTTATAGAGGATGACCGCTGCGAATAGACAGTTGAACGATAATTGCAACGGCCATAAAACATATTGAGTGCTTCAACCTGGGGGCGCGGAATGTGTTTTTGAGAATATAGAAACTACGCATTCTGCCGTTAGCTGTTTCATGACGGGCACGCCAGCGCTTCATCATTGCGTTTGCTGCCGCATTTTCAACTGTAGCTTATAAGGGCGTGAGGAAGTATTCAAAGCCAACCTCATATCCTTTATCTGCAACGATTTTCTCTCCCTCGTCAAGCATATAAACAATGCAATCTCGCGATAGAGTGATGTCAGCTGTCCCTGCTTCAACCCCACCGTTGACAAAGCAAATATCCCCAGCTCTGATTGAAATTATTAATTCGTATTTATAAGCGGCGTGTCTCATTTTGCGAGACATCAATGAGGCTCGAAAAGGATGGGCTTCAGGAACATTGCAATCAATTCTGTCCACCGTAACGAACGTATTTGACATATCAACGGGATCTAACAACAACTTTCGATCTTCCCGTACTACCTGTGTGAGATATGTGTTGCAAAGGGTTCAAGTGTTGGTTGCAATAATTCACTAAAAAATGTGCACACGAAGGTTTTGTATGCTGCGAACTATGCAATACACCAGCGGTTTAAATTTCCATAAATGCTAAGTCAATATAGTTGATGTAGGATACACCACTTATTACATGTAGAGTTCAAATCTCATCAAAATTTGTTTGTAATTCACAATTCGCAGATAAGCGTATCAATATTCACCCAGCTCGACTTGAAGTATAGCCAAAGAATTTATGCAAGACAATCCTAAATTTGATATCCCGACGTCCCGCATGCAAACAAATAAGTTTAAACACACACACTGCCATGGCAACATGCAACAATTGGAAATCTATAGTATCATGAAACATGAGTATGATTTTCTGCCAAAATCCATCGTGAAACACGTCTCATGTAGTATCAGTTTGTAGCCAGATCAGTGGAGACAGCATTTATTGCATTATTCTGATTGACTGGTGATATCACACATATTAAACACATACTAAAGTTATAAACACACGCTAACATACGATCCCGGGCAGTCTGGCAATCTGCTCGTCGACGTACCAATGCCAATCATTATATGTCTTTGTGGGGACTCTGAATGTTGATGCCCCGACATCATCATTTGGGTAGCATGCTAAGAAATGCATACCCATTAACAGATGTGCTGGTGTAGCACGGGTGTGAAGTTGCGTTGTCAGCTTGTCGTAAATGATCTTGACTACCAGTGCTGAGGCGCTAAACATTGCCTTGAACTTTCTACCAAATAGACGATCATTTACACGTCTACAATTCATGTAGCGGAGAGCTGTTTGTTTAATAGTGGTCACCGATGTCATAGTTCAAATAGAGATCCAGACAATGTAGGTGAGAGTCACAACGTATGCACAATTCTGTGTATATTGTATGCATTGAAAACTTAGTCCTGTATCATAAGCCTATGCTTGCTCTGAGGTAAAATGTGTTGCAGCGCGTACAAAACTGTCTGAATTTGTAGTATTTATAATTTAGGGGTACGCAGGTCTTGGGGAATTTATGAAGGGAGGTCTGGTCTAGGATTCGAATCAAACTGATGACACGCAACTGATGTTAAACATCTCGAATTCCATTGATTCAAATTTCAAATTAAACCGATGACACGCAAGTCGCAACTGATATTTTCTCTAATTTCATTGGTACAAATTACCGCGCCTCGATCTCCTAGTAATCATAAGTCAGTATTGAATTGAATTTTGTGGCCACTTGACTTTTCCTAAGTACAGGGCGTTCAGAGCTTCATAACCTTCAACAATATTCACATATAAACGGTTGCGCACGCAACATCTTACAAACGCACTCGCGCAAGTTACTGAATCCGTATCCAGCTCAAACGATCACTGGTCATCAGCATTCGGGTGTGTATCCTTCATCGAGTTATGTTAGTACTAATTGCAAATTCTACAACCATCGAAAACGTGCAATAATGCTGTAAGATCACACAACCGTAAAGATTACTAAGGGTTGTGTGTACACGTATACTAATTTGTTGTTGTGTTTATTGGTTGCACTAGTTTTAGGACCACGACACAGAAGTCTTCTAAGCGACAGCCCACTCGGTCAGAAGCAGGTTGCTTTTCGAGAACGGGCCTTCAAGAAAAAATTGCAGAAAACCGTGATGCCCCTTCGGAAGAAGATATTGACGACGATGAGGGTGCGCCGTTTCAGGAAGAAGAAAGTCCAGCCACAACACGACAATTCAGGGACATACAACAACCAGTGCGCACTAAAACGGCAGCAACCAGTGTCAACGGTGTAAAGATTATATCGGGCAAACAAGAGGCCAGAGCGCGCGAGTTTGTGCACACATCCCTCAAAAATACAGAGCCTTCTCTAAATTATAGACTGGTGGAAACCACACATCCGACTACGAAGTATAGAATGGTAGCAGTGAGCATACAATTTATGGCTACGCAGACACTTGCTGATTTCAGCCCTCTGGAGTATAGTCGCAGAGCCACTTCATCTAGCTTCACCCACAAGATTCCCACTGCATTCATAGAGCTGCACGATTACGTCACGCAGGACGATACACCAAGGAAAGAGGTGAGAGACTCGTGAATGCAAAACTACGACAGGAAATTTGGGGGGGGGGGGCGCGAGTCCGTGCGAGCTACAATGAGTGTACAGTTACCATTCAATGTTATTGCTTTGCCAAAATGTGTGGACATACAAATACTTCTGAACCCAAAGAAAGAGGAAATCGGCCTGGTTGTCACATTCACAGAAGACGCAGTGGAGAAGGTCGACCAGGCCGACAGGCTTACAACAACTCTCACCCGGCAACACTGATGTTATGAGTGCGCACCCAGCTCTGTACAGAGTAGGGGCATCATGTATAGATACAACACATATAAAGGATACAGACGACTATATTGTGATTATGCATAATGTATACATACAGCTAGGTAACTATTCGACAAATATGGATTTTAATAAATCACGTGTGTGTGCACATGTTATCATCATTAAGGTACACCGTATTGGATACGTGCTACTACATACTATACAAAACTGTAGAGAACGATATACAGATTGTCGATGTAGTGCTCCCCTCTAACTGTAGGCTGATCTACATAGAACCGCACAGCTGTACATAACTGTAAGCTACACCATATAAGCTCATCATATATTCTAGCGCCATATCTAACAGGACAACATTCATACTATTTCATAAGCACACAATACGATAGTATACATAAACTCAATAGATAAGTATATGCAATACCAGCTCACGCCATACAAAAAATCTAAACATTAACGAAGAGATTATTATCCATCATGGCCCCATGTGTACACACATCGCTAGCCTATACACAATGTAACCCTTAAGAGATAATCTGGTAGGTGAATGGAGGGCAGGGCTCTTTATCATACTTCCCAATCACTAGTCGGTTTGATGAAGACTTGTCGAATGTGAGCAAATACACACCGTAGTCGCAATGGTGCACGTATACATATGGCTTATGTATGCAACGGCATTGCAGTAGGGAATAACAAGACGTGTATAAACGATCGTATTTAAGTCAGAACAAGGAAGCAACATCTAAAGTGGTGACAACTACAATGAATACTGTCAGATAATACACGTGGGCTATATACAAGCACGCACACACCATTGTGACCTTTATAGTGAGCTACAACTGAGTTATTAACACACCTCTTGAATTATTGCGTACATCACGTGTTTGGTGTTCATTGGACATGCCTTTAGTTGCCATATATATAGTCATTTTGCGGAGTGCGGAGAGCAATAGAATCGAAACCCCACCGTGAGGGTATCTTTTAGAGATTATTTACTGATGTTATCGGAGCCACAGTTGATATAGGTGCTGTAGGTGCGATATATTAGACACTAAAAATACGGAAAATCGCTGTTTTACGGTGACACGCCCATATATACACCATATTAATAAAGAGTCCAACCGTAAATTCGAAGCTTTCCTCCGACAGTATTGTCGTGTAGGATGTCTAGTTGGGGTATACAGTGGGTTTTACAGTGGAATTGTATATTTTGCTGATAGAACACTGAAACAATTACCTTACCAGGGCGCGTTTTGGCGTGTTTTGGCGCGTCTCGCAAGTACGCACGACTGGAGCTTTATGGACAAGAATGCCACATCCGAAGCACGACTAGTGCACACTGAGAATAATTATGGCACATTTCACACCCATATGCCAGAATTGATTGATATATGCCATACAATAAATCTACATGGTCACGCGCGCACAGCCCAGCCCAAAGCTGGAAACAGAACGTGATGCATAATAGTGTACAAGACGGCGCTGCTTCATGTTTGGTTGGGATATTTACTATCTGTAGCAGCACACATCGGCAATACTTGTGCACAGAGACATATTTATTCATCTCGTAGCTGGTATACGTGATAGGTATTGACATGCAAGGTTCAGCTACTAGAGATGCATAGCCGATGGAGCGTGCATGCAAATTCAGTAAGCATAATACTAGATAAGCTTTCCAGCACACTATGCACACTTAGTTATATGTGCACTACGAACTGCACGTTCAAACATATGGCTGCCAGTCTAGGTGTATACATATTCATTCGCCGCAAAGATTGAAACCTCAAACACTATGATATACCAGCATATATTTATATAGGGAACGCGACAACAATTGGAAGTGTACATGTTCAAAGGGTGATTTCCTGTGACTTTGATAACATTCACCGCTTGATTTTCATATAAAAGTATAGAAAATCATACCTTAGTGTTGTGCGGAGAGCTCAATTTGTGTCATGTTGCGCGGAGAGCTCAATTTGTGTCAGAGTACTTTGGTTAGCACGGCAAGGTTTGCCATATGTAGTGCCTTTGAATGACGTATGTATTTATGATATCTCGATATTTCTACGTTTATGTGGAAAAAAAATTTGTCCACGTACACATGAGCCTGAAATATATCGCGCCAGGCTCCGTCTTTATCGTTTGCAGGATGGTGGTTACTCATACTGGCCCATTCACTATCCATCTCATACTCGATAATGGCCTCATTGGCATCGTCATTAAATTGTATGGCTCGAAAGTTATCCATCGTCATCTTCACGGCACCATTACGAGCAGCACCAGATCTCGACAGCGGGATTTGGGGTTGTAAAACACAGTATGTCGTGTCGCGAGATCGTTGTGGAATGGCGAAGGGTTTTCCTCTTCGTCCTCACTTTGGCCATCATTGGTATCAACTCCGCGGAATAGAGGCATTGGCTTGGTGTCGGGTCGTTCTGACATGGATGATAGACGTCTCTTGACTTTGTTGCCAGTGTTGATTGCTGGTAATGTAATCGATAGGAAGAAATAGCGATATTGTGTGTGAGAACATCTTTATAGTGTTCACTATACGGACCTACCCGTTGAGGACAAACCCCGATCAGTATAGATGGCCACTCGATATGTAAAGTGCACAGACACACCTAATTTTACAGTAATACCATATATATTTAGTCGGATATGGAAAAAAAATCAATTGTGAACCTAGTGTTGCAATCGTGTTTCTCTTGGGCATCGAATTATACTGTATGGGTGAAGATACTTAATTGCATAAGGAATGAAACAAACAGGCTTATATACACGCATTATCGCATTATGTGCCATATAGAGCTGCAGAGTACCCCTAATATATGGCTGTGTTTTTGTATGTGTTAATGATTTTGAAACCATATTAAGTTTCCGAGGAGACTTGTGTTTAATTACTGATAGACAGGTCAAGCACTATAAATGATCCCGGTAGACAGACAGTAGTGTCTCAAATAAGTGGCACGCCGAACTTTAATACAATAGGCCACGATATCGGATAACAAGCTAGGTGTGTTTATGTGGTGTCTTCAATTTTCAAGATACATCTCAGATGATAATGCATCGATGTTGTACAATCACCAGTATAAAGAAGGGTATTAAAGTCATGTGTACTCTACTAAATCGCGATGGTCAATATCATATTACAGGAAGAACTCTGATGTACACGAATAGACACAATCTGAGTGCATCCACAGTTTGCTATATACATGTATCTCATCGGATAGTCAGTTCAGGCACATGCTACCCTAATACATAGCGTATGCATAAATCACCAATATTTAATCTGCAAAAATATAGTAATTTAAATATACATGTGTAAAAAATGTCACTGTACTAAAATAGTATCACTGTATTTGCCGGACAAAAAAAAAACATATTTACAACATTGAACTTCACACCTGAACAAACGATACGTACAGAGGCGAAAGTAATGTAAGCACATCATTACATTTGTAGCTGAACGTATCTTGTCTGTATAGCAAGGGACAAAAGAGTATGCGTGTGTGTGCAGTGTCGCGGTGTCAATTGTGATGAGTAATATTTCACTTTACATATTCATTTTAAAGTAAGTGAGCAAGATTTAGATATTCACATCACACTACGGCATCAGCAAGCACATATTTAGAGTAGAATAAGGATACGTTTATAGCTATTATGCGGATTACTGTAACGATTAGAGTTTACAATATTTAAGTCGCATACAGCAAGTTGTGTGTATTTATGTATTAAGTGCGTTTCGATTACACACAAGTACAATACAGTGTCGTGTGAGATGCTACTCTAGTATATTGTAAGAAATTTATAACTCAAATACGTATTTTTTTACTGCAGTAATCACAGAAAGATACAAATCAGTGTCAGATTACCACGTATTATAACAAGACTTGTTGTACAATATTGTCGACTAGTGTCTTGAAACGAGTACACGAATACATCTTGTTCTAGCAAATCGACGGAAGAGATCTCCACAACTTTGTAAGTTCTCTTGTGGTAATTAAATCAGATAGCACATATGGCTATAAATTGTCAGGGTTGTGTCTGAATACACTAAGCACAGTGATGGATATTTGCAGCAGTAACTAGTGCAGGCTGAGTAGTTTATAATATGCACTTTACAGATCTGCTGTATGTAGCTATAATATAAACGAATATTGATTTAGAGGCGATACGTTCGTTGATCCCTAGTAATAAGAGCACGCACAGCAGTGACACTAACATCAATGTTATATATATATGAGCGTACACATATTCGTGATATTTTATCAATAACAGTGTGCCAAGTTTGATTGAATATTGGTTAGTTACGGAGCAGTATGTATCACAAATTCAATTTGTAGAAACACACATATTTGTGGCACTGTGAAAAGACCGAGCATACAATTATCACTGTACAAACTTAATTTTTGAAAATTCATGACATCAACATACCCTTCTAACGTACCAACTGCATGCCTTGAAACCTTACGCCTAGATGATCCGAATCCAGGCATCTCAATTCAGAACTTACAGGCAAGGATTCGGTCCCGAGCACCTTGCAATGACTTCAGCATTCCTCGACGATTTTTATATTTGCTGTAAGGGCTGCGTTTGACAAGCTTCGGTAGGTCAACACCGTGAAATTCGCCGCCTGGAAGGATTCCCTCCTTGAAGCGATCGCCGTCCAAGCTCTTGAGTGCCAATCCATACTCACTCGACATGGTGTCTTTTATCTCGTGCGTGTCACTCTATTAATGCCTCTTCCTACATAACAATACCCTAGTGTGGAGTAGCTCGCTAAAATGTTGTATGCTGTTGTATTAGTAATTAGAGGCAAGTGAAATTCAAGTGGTTGTGTGTGTGTATATTATGTGTGTGTATACTATGTGCACACGTAAGATCGTCGGGGTCAGGGAAACAGGAGTGTAGTATATTTGATTTTTATTTATTTGTGAGAGAGATTTAGATCAAAATCGAACCGCCAAAATATAGGTTGTATTCAGAGTCGGCAAGATATACTCATATGAGGGCCCAAGTTGTCCTGGTTTTATGGAAAAAATAAATAGGGAATACAGTGCCATTCGCCGCACTTGCTAAATTTCCTCTAATAGTCCAATATTTTCGGAGGTTCAGCACCATTTTTTGAGCTTTTATTGGCATTTACGACTCGCTCCTGTCTTGACTTCTGGTGTAAATACAATTTTCCGAAGACGACCAAATAAATTTTGACAAAAACGTTGAAAAAAAATGATAAAAGAGACATACGCGCCAATCATCTGATGAATTTCTCAATTTTACTTTTTAAATAAATAAATAGGAGTGTCCAAGGCATCCCCTCGGGATGAAGGATGGTAGAGGACTACCCTCGACCCTTGGGGGGTACTCGAGGGCTCTCTCCCCGAGCCGTGATTTTTTAAACTGAGAGCTGAGAGTTGTTTTGAATTGCTAACTATAAAATATCGGAACCAGCCGAACGGGACGCCTGAAGTGAGTGAAGTCCTGATTCCTGTAAATCCTGAACCACCCTGCTGTTAAAAACCTTACTACTCAAAAAGTCAAAACGAAAATTGCAATTTTAATTAAAAATATTAGGACGATTTATGGAATATCTGAATTCTGAACTGAAACATAGTGCCAAGTGCCAACTGTCTGAGTGATCGCGAGACCAAAAGTGAAAAGTCAGACGTCTTATTAGTGGTCGCAGTCTTTTTGTTTTGTTTTTGTTTTTGTTTTTTTTAACAAAAAAAAGTTAAAAAACCAAACCGCTCTGAATTATTATCCTTTTTTTATTCCTTTTTCTGTTTTGGGCTTTTTGGGTTTGACTATTTTGAAAATAAAAAGGCAAAAACAAAAGCTTAACTGTAATTTGCTTTATTTTTCACTCTCAAACCAACTAAATATATCTATCAATCTATAGTTTTTTTTAGTCTTTTCTATAATTTATAAAAATAAATTACTGTAAATATCTGATAGTCTGATCACTGATAAGCAGTCACAAGAACACTGCTGGAAACTGGGCTGTTTTAGAGTGGGGAGTCTGGCACTCTGGGGAGTGGACTGTGACTGTGGACTGTGGACTGTGGACTGTGGACTGTGGACTGTGGACTGAGGACTGAGGACTGGGGACTGGGGACTGGGGACTGGGGACTGAGGACTGGGGACTGGGGAGTCCAACTTGACGCTGGACACTGGACAGTCGGACTAGTAGTAGAGAACCGCTGGATAGTTGAACAGACTTAACTGCCTTGTTGGTTCATTGTTCCTCAAACGCTCGGAAGTATGGGTCAACTCTCGACACTAAAGACCAACAGCCACAATAGTCAACACAACCTTAAATATTGTTCTAAATATCCGTCAAATGCCTTCTCTCTTGTCTAAATTTGCGCACATTTGCAGTTACATACCTTCATTGTCTCTCCAACTGCTCTCTAGTAGTAGAGGATATTAAACGATCTTTGGGGAATGACAACTAGATCAGACTTTGAAACACAAAAGTCCCGACAGGACAAATTTCCAACACATTCATTGTGAGTCATTTTTAGAACGTAAACAACAGTAGAATAGAATGTCATATTGCATGTCCTACGGACGTTAGTCTGTTCAGCCATATTTCTTTCTTCTCTAGAGGGTCATGATTGCATTCGATTTTTAGGATACGTAGGGCGAGATATGTATGTAGTTGTGTAGCAGGGTTATATATAACTAAATCGCTATATTATAGCCATTGACTGCTACTCCTAATAGGGAGTCCATAACTATAGCGATTAAGCGAGTGACAACACTCCTGCACACATACGAAAGTTTCCTAAAGCTATTTACCAACAAGAAGTCAACTTTGACATATTTATAATATTATCCCTATGGATTAGGCCGATTAGGGTCGCGAGCAGAAATCTTTCTTCCGACGACAAATAAATTTAGCAAAGACTCTATCCAGAGACAAGAGGGCCCGTGCGTATTTATCACTTTTTTAAACGGCCCAGTCAGCCTGTCACGCCACAGTGCAGAACTGCTTACATACTGCGCGCGGATTCACTGTTAGTTTGGCCGCTGGCGTATACCACTGTTCCTCAGCCCTCGCCCCTCGCCCCTCAGCCCTCGAGTTTCCGACTCCCTACTCTCGATTGTACGAGAGAGTACAGGAGTAACAACGCACGCCTGACGAAACTGTTTATTGTTTTGGGTTTAACATTTTTTTACAAACCAAGACAAATCGTTGTTGTGAAAATTGAAACCTCAAAACGGGTGACGAATATTCGGTACTAAAACTTAAAATCTTTCAGTGGCTTTTATGTATTTATTTTTGAGAAGGTTTTAATTTGGGCGACAGAAAAATAAAATAAGTAAATATGTGGGTTTGTATTGAATTTTGTTGTCGGCTCCGTTCACATGAGAAAAGAAGGAATGCCCGATTTGGATATTGTCGTAAACAAACCAACATTGTCGGAAATTAACAAGAGTACATACATTCGGCAGATATGTGCGTCATCTTTTTAAATAAAAACAATCCAAAACAATACTTGATTATGTTGTTTATTTATATTTTTTAAAATATTAAAATATTATATAAATACAGCCTATCAATTATAAAAGCTCGCTTTCCACTGAGAATTATCAATGAACACCCCAGCCACAGCCAGGTCGCCGCTACTTTGCATAATATAATCATTGGCAAGGTAACGACTGTCGTGTGAGTCGAAGTCTCGAAGAACGCGTACTGTTTCATCGCAAACTAGGACAAGACATTTAGCACAGCTACGAGTCGGGATCAGTCTTTAGTACCCAGAACCTTTGAATTCAGCGCCATCATGAGAAAAGTGTAAGTTATAGTAGCGTGTGAATCATTGACCGTATTAGCCGTGCTTGCTGTTAGGTCCAGCTTGACCGTGTTGAGTGCAAGGGTATGGTTTCTCTCTCTCTTCACGGTGCATGTCTGATGCGTCTTTTCTCGAGATAGTGCCATCCTGATCGCGCTTAAGTGTGTTTGCAAGGCTAATGTCCTCAAATTTAGCAGTACATTAATACTTGTGTATGGGTACGAGTTGCGAATTGGAGTTCACAATCCGGCGACGGCATCAAATCTTGTATCGGAGCTTATCCACTCTCACCCTAAGCTACACAGCAAGAATCTGATCATTAATTCGTGTAATTCAGGATATCGGGGTCCTGCAAACGTAGAAGTGAAGCATCTAAGATAATATTTGTTATGCAAACTATTCCAAAATATAAGCATACACTGGTTCCTGGCGGGCGACCGTGTATGATCGTGTACTGTATATGTATTAGTACGTTTTATGTGATACATACATAACTCAAGTACCAAATTTAACAGTGATCTAATACTTGCGTATTAGTATGAGTTGCGAATTGGAATACACAATCCGGCGACGGCATTAATTCTTGCGTCGGAGCTGATCCACTCTCTCCCTTACACAGCAAGAAAAGAATCTGGTCATTAATTCGTGTATTTCAGGATATCGGGGTCATGCAATCTTGGGTAATATTGGACAAGCAAACTATTTCAAAAATATAGTCCCTGGCGGGCGACCGTGTATTGTTTATGTACTAATACGTTTCATGTGATACATGCATAACTCAAGTACATTATATGGTTCAGTGTAAATCTGGTAGAAGTTGTTTGAACGTCATTAATTACAAAGTATGGTTGTTCCTTATGCTATTCTTTAATCTCATACCTACGCACACAGACGCACGCACAAGGGATACTTACACCCGCCCCTATCTATATCCCACATAACCCCAACGCATATA